CAGAGCAGACATTAAAAACTACCGTGGCCATGGCTGGGGAAGATGGGTATATTTTGGGATGGGGCTTCTCATGGAGGGTGCCAGGCACGTTGAGAGGGGGACATGAGTGGCCGCCCCCAGCGCAGGAGAAGGGTGAGGATGGCGGGCACCTGTCAGGCTTCCTTTCCCTGCTAGAGGACGGTGAGCATGGGAGAGCGTTGGGTGGGCCATTCGCGGCCGGGGGAGATTTCTCCAAGGGGCACCATTTTAGAGGAGCTACAAAACCCCTCTAGCACAAACACGTGGTTCACAAACACGCGGAGAGAAGTGAGAGCTGCAGCTTGTACGCAGCAGAGCTGTTATCGACACTGTCTTTCAGTGCCATCAGAGCTTCAGTGTTGCTGCTAGGACCAACACTGGCATTAGAGTCACTAGAGTGCTTTTGAAATGCATACTCATGGACTGCAGTTACTGAATAAAATACCTGCAGGTGGGGCGAAGAACCTACCTTTTATTTAAACCCTCACTCTTTCAGAAGATGGGAGGGCCTGGCACTAGCCGGGGCCTTCTGGGTTGCTACTTGAAGCACATCGCTGCAATTCCCGATTGATGAGAAGAGTTTGGAGGCAAATATAACAGGGGATAAATGACCCCATAACTTCATTTTTATTTCTAAGATGTCTCCCAGAGCATCTTTCTCCAATTTTGTCAATTGTGATAGAATTAGCTGTCAAAGTACTCCATGGAGTCTGTGTACATTCTACTTTGCCTACCTGTCTCAAACGCAGGAGGGGGCTGTGGATGGGAGAGGTGATTAGGGCTCTGGGCAGGGTATGTGCCACGTGCAGAACTCACATCTGGGTGGAACTCACACCTGGCAGCAACTCTGGGTCTCTGGCATGATGCCTCTGAAAAATTGCAAGACAACAAGTCCAGCCAGGCAGCTTTTGAATGGAGCCCTGCTCAACGCTAGATGTCTCAGCTTTTTATTATTAGGACAAACACGTGTGGGAGAAATTAGCATGGAGAATGGCGGAGCAAAGAGGAGCCATAGGGAGAGACTGTTGTTGTTATTAAGTCTTTAGTGAGCACTTTCTATGTGCCAGGCACTTTATAAGTGTGAATTCTTGATACAGTCATGGAAAACAGACTAGTGTTATTCTAAACTTAAAAATAAGGTAACTGAGGCACATAGAGATTAAATAAAGTGCTGCAGTCACACCAGCTCTAGGTGGCAGAGCTAAAATTTGAATTTCAATTTTTGCTGACCACAGAATCCATACTTTTAAATTTCCACAGTTATTTTACCATAATTACATACATTTTGTGGCTTGATACACATATGTGTTGTGAGATAACTATCCCAATAAGGTTAGATAGCATACATCATTTCATGATTACCATTTTGGTGAGGTGAGAATATTTAGTATCTATTCTCTGAGCAGTTTACAAGTATATAGTACAATAATGTTCTCTCAAGCCATCATGTTGTGAGTTCTCTCTGGTGCTGATGCCTATAAAATTCCTGATTCTTGCTGGAGATATCATTTCCCAAAGGAGGTCATTTCTGGACAGCTGTCTTTAAATGGCCAAAAATCTCCAAGGGTTGATGACCTCTTTCAATGATAAGAGTGTTGTCAGTAATTGGCTCTGTGACCTTGGGTCTCAGGGAGGTTGGGAGTATGTAATCTCCAAAGGTTCCCCTCTCTACTGTTATCATTTACCAGTTATCTAGGATAATTACCATTCCTAATATGGAGATCCCCTCAGATGCATTGCTCTTTGGATAGTGGTGGGCAAAGGAAGCTGAATGCCAGAAAGGCAGTGCATACTTGGAAACAGGTGCACTTATCGAACACATATGTACCAGGTATGAGGGGTACAGAGTTGAGGAACAAATGGCCCCTTCCTTGAAGGAATACACGCTGTAGTGAGGGAAATAGAGGAACAGTTGTGTAAGATTGCTATTATAGGGTAATTTAATCACAGGAGAGTGGAGGCTGCTGTGGGAACAGGAGGAAAGAATACAAAACCGAACTTGGGCAAAGGAGGAGGGTTGGGGATGGTGAGGAAGGAACTCCCGGAGGTGATAAGGCCAGAGCTTCTTCGCAAGGTAAGGTTTGGAGAGCAAGGGGACTGAAGAGGGTGGAATGTTTTCCCTGCCACATCAAGAATGGCACACGGCCAGCCCAACCTTCCGACTGACAGGTCAGATTCACACTGGCCCTAGGACTCCGAATGTAGAGTCTGGAAAGCCAAGCTGATGTTCTTTTATAAACTTGCTTTCCCTTCTTATTTTGTATGGGAAAGCTCATGTTTGATGAACTTTTCCCTCCCAGTGTATGCAACAGGAAAAGGCTTTGGTTTTCTTTCCAATTTTTTTTTTCTTAACCTATTGTGCATTCTCTGTTAGTACCTCTTCATATTATAAGATTTCAGTTTATCTGTGGTTAAAAAAAGGGGGATGTTGTTCCATTGTCACTGGATAAATTCCAGAGCCTAGAAAAGTCTTTGATCAGTTTCATTTCCTTTAAGACTACAACATAGATAAGAATGCCTTCTAATTTTAAGCATTCCACTGAGGGAAGTTCTAACAACTGTAACTGGTCTTTTAGTTTCTAAGTTCTTTCTCACTGTCAGAAAGGTTTCTCTGTTTTTGTCTTTAAATCCTTATAGCTATTTTTGGGAGATCTTTGTTTTTTTTTTTTTTTCCCCTGGTTTCATTGAGTATTGCGAAAAACTGGTTACCATATTATTTCAGAGAATACACCGAGATCTCCTAAAAGGATTCATCTGAAGGCAAAGAGGACTTAGCTTCTGAAAGTGTGTATAAAATCTTCATTCATGAACGAATAATGGAACTGAGGCAATCATTCCCTAGAACAGTCTGCCTTTCACTACCTGGTTGAGTCCAGAGCTCTGGAACATATAAATATGCCCTTCACTCCTCACTGATCTAGCACCTTCCCTGTGGTGATGTGTTTGTTTCTGCATCCACATCTGTGAGGCGGACTCTCCCATGCCTTCTGATGTGGCACCATATATAACAATCTTAGAATTAGACTCTCTTGGTTGTAAGTAGAAGAGATTGACTTGAATTCCCTCAGTGGAAAGGGACACTATTATCAGGGAAGTGGAACTGGGGAGCCATTGGGACAGCTGGAGTCTCTCTAGCTCACTGAGAGGTGATATGGAGGATTTTCTCTGCTTCATGCTGCTCTATTCTCTCGCTCTACCAATGAGTCTTCTCACCTTACCCAGAGTTTGTCTTCTCATAACTTTGGATAGAATTCGACATCAGCTTCACACAGACCTATTTCTACCTCCTTGTATTTTTCCCTAACTTCTCCTCTGCCTACTGACTAGCTCAGCATCTCTCTTTCTTGATTAGAATTTTCAGAAACATTGAATTGATTGAGCTTATCTCTTCAGCCAGGCTATGATAACATTCCTGGCCAGCCAATGAATTTGGTTGTTTTTGTGTTAGATACCAATGCATGGTCCATCCCCCTTGACCAAATACAAGGTTATAAAGTATGAAAAGCTAAGCAGCAAACAAGAGCTATCCATGAGGCAGTCACCCTTTGATGGCCATGCAGGCACCCAGAGCCAGTTTTTATCTTAGGTCAAAGAATAAGATCCAGAGTTTCCCTCTAGTGAGTGAATGACCTAAACAAAACCAGGATCAAGGCAAGATGCACTATGGCAGGTATAGAAGCCAAAGAATGGAGGCATGCTTGCCACGAAGTTGGAATGTTTCTTGGAAGAGGGAAGTGGTTTTGGAAGCAGTATGGGGCTCTGCTTATCAGGATAAGCCTAGGAAATATACGGCTGCCCCTTGAACAATGCAAGTTTTAGGGGGTGCGGACTGCTCATGTGGCTGAAAATCCACATATAACTTACAATCAGCCCTTGGAATCCACAGTTGGTTGAATCCATGAATGTGGAACCCACAAATAGGAAAAAACTGCATGAGAGTAGACCTGCACATTTCAAACCTGTGATATTCAAGGGTGAGCTGTATATACTTTTTTTAAAAGAAAGTTATGCATACAGAACTGGGTACAGGCCAGAGGTGCAGGGACAGTGAGAGGATTCACCAGAGACAGAGTGGGGAGCAGAATAGGCCAAGAGACTGAAGGCAGCAGTGGGCGGATCAGGAGAGGTCTGCTGCGCCTCTGTGGATCACCCCTGGGGCAGGGATCGAACTCATGCTGAAGTAGCTTTAGCTTCTCAGTGCTGTGCTTTAACTCGCTGCGCCACCATGGAGGGCCCTGTATATGCTTTTTTATAGATCTTGATTTGGCAGCTGACTCCAAGGAAAAGAAATCATGACTTGCCTTCAACTAGTAGGCACATACCTGACACTCAGAAAAGTGTGAATTTTAGAAAAGAGTATCAGTCTCTACATTGTTATTCTTTGTAAATCAGACCAAGGAAGAAGAGGGACGTCAACTTAATTTTTGTAAATCTTTGTCAAAAACACATTTTTTTAAAAAAGATTTGTGCATACAGAACTGGTGTACAGGCCAGAGGTGCAGGGGTGGTGAGAGGATTCACCAGAGACAGAGTGGGGAACAGAACAGGCAGATCGACGAAGTACACTGCTGAGAGGAGCAGTGGGCGGGTCAGGAGATGTCTGCCCAGAGGTATGGGTCACCTCTGGGGCAGGTGGGAATCGAACTCATGCAGAACTCATGCTTTAGCTTCTTAGTGCTGTGCCTTAACCATTGTGCAACCAGGGAGGACCGTCAAAAACACATTGTAAAAAGCACATTGGACTTTCTCAATTCCCAACACTGCATTTTCTTTATGACTCGTCCAATCTGCTATTAATCCACAACTTACCATGCAAAGAAATCCTGTTGTCTTCTTTCTTCTTTTCTTCTAAGTCATTTAATGCAAGTGGGAAAGGTAGAGGAGGAGGTAAAATTTGAGATCAGCTAATCCAGAGAGAATGTGAGGGTGACAGAAACTCAGTTATTGCTCTTTTCTATCTGTGTGTGTGCTTTTCTTTCCAGGGCTGCTGATAAGCTCAGGCTGTGCACTGTATCCTTTAGGATGGAACAGCCCCGAGATAATGCAAACGTGTGGGAATGTCTCCAATCAATTTCAGTTAGGTAAGGTGATTGAAGGAGGAGGTTTCACTTGGGATCTGTATTCCAAAAATGCTTTACCACTTGGAGGGGTGAGCCACTGCTTGCTTGTGGTTCTTGCCCGAGTCTTTCTCATTATGTTGTTAGCTTGTGGGATGTGGTGACTTGGCCTGATTCCTCATCTGGCCTTGCTAACTCAAAGTGTTGGCCATAAATTCCATTTACTTATCTCACCATACTTTTTATACACTTTTACCCAGAATCCTGTGACCAGGATATGGGCAACCGTATCTATGGAGGGATTGCAAATACTTGAAAATCGAGGATCTGTTATCTTTTGAATAAATCGTAGTTCTTATCAATGTTTTTTTTTCAGGCACTGTTTTCCAAATGTTAACTCAACAATGTATCTTATCATTTTCCACTGAGAATATAAAAGGAGTTATTTTGGTTTCTATGAGCATGAGGAATCTGAGTTAAATATTAGGGATTATTACTGGCATGTTAATACAAGAGCTGTTAAATATTAGTGTGAGTGACAGCAGTAGCTCTGTGCTCTTTATTTGCCAAATCTCACTGAGAATGGGTGAAGTTTACTCATGTGAATTGGAAATTGATTACACTCTAATTGGAAGACTTTACAATATTTTCCCAACTTACTGTAATGGAAGATGTGTCTGTTTTCTCAAGTATGCTCCATTATAGGAGAGGATTGTGGAAAAACAAAGCCATCTATTCACCTATCATTTGTGCTTTGTTTTTTTTTTTTTTGGGGGGGGGGTCTGGTCTCATCTGACCCATTTCTGGAGCAAGCAGTTGTTCATTATTCAAATATAAAATGAGGGAAGGGCTATAAAAATGTGATAGTTTTTTCATAGATGTCTTTTATTAGGTTGAAAATGTCAATTCTACCTGCTCTTTGTATGTAAAACATAGTCATCATAAATGTGCTGGGGGATCTGAATATCAATTGATGCTTATCATGATACTGCTGTAGGGTCTGTTCTATGAAGTCTGTATCTGTTTACCAATTCCTTCTTACATTCTAGGCACACCATTGTAGAGCTAGTGTAAGCTCCCTAAGGGAAGGAAATTTTGCCTGTGAGATAAAGTAAATTGGTCTGTACTGTGGCAGAGCTGGGATTCAAAATCTAGAACTCTGATCTAGGCAACACAATCACTAGAAGTTTCTGCAATAATGCAACTATTCTGTGTCTTGCTGTCTAATGTGTTAACTACTAGCCACATATTAGTGAACAACTAAAATGTTAAGGTGGTGGGACTGAATTTTAAATTTTATTTTATTAAATCTAACATATACTTAATATTAAATTTTGTTAAGTTAATTACAATGATTTCATTATTTTAAGTGGAACAGGCACAATGTGACTAGTAGCTACCATAGTGGGCGGCACAGCTTGTGCGTCAGTGCTAGGAGCTGCTGTGCTCCTAAGTAAAGAAGAGAAGCCTACTGAGGAGCCTCAGAAGGAGTAGCCAGAGCGATATATAAAGAAAATCAAACCCTTAGTTTACCCCACTCACAAAAATGAACTCAAAATGGGTCAAAGACTGAAATACAAGAACTGGCACCATGGAATTCTTAGAAGGAAATGTAGGGAAAGCAACTCATTGATACTGGTTTTGGCAATGATTATTTGGACATGATGCCAAAACAAACAGCAAATGTAAAAATTAACAAATGGAGCTATATAAAATTCACAAGTTTATGCACAGTAAAAGAAGCAATTGAAAATACAACCTACAGAACCAGAGAAAAATACTGTGCATGTGTGTGTGTGTATAAAATATATAGCATTTATACACACACACACACATAATGCCAATGCAAGGCATCTACCTATCTTGTGTGCGCACACACACACACACATACACACACACATAAAATGTATAGCATCTCTCTGGCCTAGGGAAACCCCCACTTGGACCAAGGTGTATTCATAATAAGATTCTACACTGGGCTATGGGTTCATATGCCATTGCGGACTTTTGGGGCCTCCCTTGCTTAGAGGAGACCCCCTAACCCCTATGTATATCAAAGGGGCTAATAGCCAGAATTTAAAAAGAACTTAAACAACAGCATAATAAAAATGCACAAGCCTGATGGAAAAAAAATGACGAGAAGAACTAAACAGAAAGTACTCTAGATTTGCATGGATAAAGACAATTTTAACACTAAATTTTATTATAGAAGAAGGTCGTAATCCACTATGTCTAAGAGCATATACAGTGTACCTGGATCCTCTTTACTTCTGGTATGTCCTACTCTCGATGTCTCCCTTATCGCAGTCTCCCTTCTTGGGAGAAAGCGAGTATATGTGTAAGTGTGGGGGTAGTAAAAGATCCAAAGTCTGGGAAGACAGAGCTCTCAGGACTAAAACATACGGGTGCAGATGGAATCTATTACACCTTGCACTTACCCAAAAAATTGACCTCCTTCCCCGATCTCCTCTTCTGTCTCTAGGATCTCCTGTCATATGTCCTAGTCCTCCTTCAGGTCCTATGTTGTCCAGTCCATCTTTGGTACCTTTTCTCTACATAAATGTCATCCACCAGAGTCTACAGTTGAGCTCTTTAGGGTATTGACTCACTTTCTTCTTTTTATTCATACAAAGAATAAATTAATAATCAAATTTTAAAGCAGAAAAATAGCCCAAACAATAATTACAGGCTGCACTGCTAGCTACAATGGGCGGGACCTTGCTATCAACTAGTGGGCTCATTTGTAATTACTGAAATCAAACGCCAATAAGGACAGGTGATTGATTGTCTTCAAGACCTCACAACTAGTAGTTTTGGGGACTGTTTCCTGACTCTCATGCACAATGTAGATTTTGCTAGATGGTATTCTAGTATCAGCTTGTTAAATGAATGGCTGATTCAATAAGAAGGGGAAAGTCAGGCAAATTCCCCCAGCAATAGCCCTGTCAAGTGCAATGCCTTTCTCACACTTCAGTTTGGTTATGTAATGAAAAGCTTAACCAGAGAAAGGCATTTGGTAGTTGTCAATCGGACTCTAGCCATCCAAATGAATCCTTTTCAGTTCAATACCAAATGAATCTATTTAACTCCACCTCTCAGTTAGTCACCAAGCTCCTGTTTGGTATCAGCAGCAGTGAGAGCCAGGGAAGAATTTGTGGGAGAGTTTCCTACTATTCAGAGTGGGTTTCCAGAGAGTGACATCCTCAGCTCTGTGACCTTGGGTATGTCACTTACCAGTTGTGAGCTGACTGCTACTTCCCAAGGTGGCCGTGAGGATTAAATGAGATCACGTGGAGGGAAAGAGGACAGTGCTTGGCATATGTCAACTGGATGGTTGTTGTTAGTTGTCATCATCGTCATGGTAATAATAGCAGTTGTCAAAATAACAATGTTCCCAGTACCTTAGTTTTCAGAAAAAAAAGATGGCTTACAGCAAGGAACCACTATAGTTAAAGACACAGGTCGATGGTAGAAAGAATTTGAGTTTGGACCTTGGTTCAATTCCAAGCTCTGATGCTTACTAGTTGTGCAACATCAGTCATACCAGTTAACCTCTCTGTGCCTCCATTCAAGAAGATTGAGCATGTTTTTCACCACAAAGTTAGTGATTGAGTTGATTAGGTAAAGTAACATCCACCTACAAAGCAGCACAATGTTTATTACAATACACGTGGTCTGCTGTTTAGTGGGTATCGGCCCATTTGTCAAGGCCACTTTGCAGAGGGTACCCTGGGCTTGGCTTCTGGGAGGCAGGGTGAGTCCCACTCAATTTGGCCAAGCCCTGCAACAGAGGCTACCCAGAGGTCTTCTATGTGTTGGTCGTTTCCTCCCTTAGAGGCCCATTTCCCTTGCTGTCCCATTTCCTCTCATTCTTTCCAGTTCAAAGCCTTTTACAGGTTTGGCCTTTGTGGGTTCAGTTTCCAGGCATTTCCTGTTACCTTTCCTCTGTGTCAATTTCCTCCTTGATTGACAATCTATTTTCTTGTGCTCACTAGAGCACAAAGAAGCAGCTAGTACATCCTCATATCCACAGAGGGGCAGCAGAGGATGGTGGAGGCAGTCTGGCCAGGGTATGCAGACAGCTGCTTTTTAAACCTTCTTCCGCTTGCTTGGGCAGGTCAACTACCTGCAACGAGAGCCTTGTTTCCTGTCTTCACATAGCGAGCCTTGCGTTAGTCTGGTGAGTAACTTTGGTTTTAAAGTCGCCAAATATCTACCTAGCTCCCTGGTGTGGCCTTTTGGTGAGAGCTTTGATTTCATTTCATATTTGTCTACTTTGCTCTAAAAATCCAGAAGGATAATGAGAAAAAGAAACCATTCTATTTAAAGCAGCACTCCTAGAGGCACTGAGACTTTTAATGTCTTTCGCCTGTGGGGACAGTGGCTCGGGATTGGACAAGGGGATTGCAAACAGCTACTCATTCATCAGCTTGAATGCCTGGGCAACCAGTTCTGGAAACCCCCTGGCTCAGATGTTGCTTAAGGTTTTTATGTTGCCCATCTAGCCCACACAGAGAGGCGGCACCATCCAAAGGAGAAGCTGGCCCCAGCTGGAGGGCACAGAAGCGCCTCGGTGGCTTAGGGAGGATTTAATTGCACTGCTTAACCCTGATGCTCAGGGTGCTTGTGATGCTCTGTAGCTTCTCAGGCGTCGAGTGGAATGAATGAATTGTATTGTAGGGTCACTCTGTTGCCTCTTACCGTGTGACCATAGCTAAGTCACCTCAGTTCTTTAAACCTATTTCCCCATGATTAACATGAGGGTGATTTTTTTTTCAAAGATTTATTTATTTGTGCATACAGAACTGGGGTACAGACCAGAGATGCGGAGGGTGAGAGGATTCACCAGAGACAGAGTGGGGAGCAGAACAGGCAGATCGACGACGTACACTGCTGAGGGAGCAGCGGGTGGGTCAGGAGAGGTCTGCCACGTCATGTGGTCACCTCCGGGGCAGGCGGGAATCGAACTCATGCAGAAGCGGCTTTTGATTCTCATTGCTGTGCTTTAACCCGCTGCGCCACCA